CTGGAATAAAGAATGCCTCTGCAAAATGCCCCGCAGCTGCAAGTGAATGTCATTTGATAGACAAGAGAAATTTGGCCCCTCCAGTATCAGGAAATACATACTAAAGACATTCTGAAACCCTAAACCTCTCCTAGAACTAAGAGATTTGTTTGTAAATTGGGACATCTACCCATAATGAATGAGTAATAGAGACTGCCAGTTTAGGCCTATTTATGAGGTTTGATCTACCTGAGAAGATCTTTGTTAATGAAGTGATCTGTGTACAAATTCATTTATTCTTTTTGTCATAAAGAATGATTTTAATTTTATTCATCACTATTATTATTTTTAAATTTGACCAGAGAGATAGAGAGAGAGAGAGAAATTGAGAAAGCAAGCCACCAGGTCCAGGACTTGAACTGTGGTTGGCCATGTGGGAGTTCAGCACCACCACGCCACCTGCTATTCCCAGATGCATTTATTCCTAATAGAATATCTGTTTAATCAGTATAAGTCCTATATTTTCTATAATGAAGTTTATATTCATTGAATAAAATTATAAAAAAATAGAAAAAACATTTTATATATGTATGTTTATACATATGTGTGTATATATGTATGGTAAGTATACTAAATAATTCACCCATTTTATATGTATGTGTGTGTGTCTGTGTGTGTATAGTACATATATGGTAAGTGTACTTAACAATTCACCCATTTTATATGTGTATGTGTGTGTCTCTGTGTGTGTATAGTACGTATATGGTAAGTGTACTAAACAATTCACCCATTTTATGTGTATGTGTGTGTCTCTGTGTGTGTATAGTACGTATATGGTAAGTGTACTAAACAAAACACCCATTTTATATGTGTATGTGTGTGTCTCTGTGTGTGTATAGTACGTATATGGTAAGTGTACTAAACAATTCACCCATTTTATACGTGTGTGTGTGTGTGTGTGTCTCTGTGTGTATAGTACATATATGGTAAGTGTACTAAACAATTCACTCATCATTAATCTAGTGTCTTCTTTAGTCTTTATCAAGCGTCTGGCTCTACTCTTTCTGCAACTTCATACCATTAGCTTTTCACAATTTACTTTTTATTTAGACTTTTTTTCCAGTTAGATTACAAGCTCCTTAAAAGTGCAGAGTCCTTTATTCTGTTTTTCCTGTATTCATCAAGCACCTACAGAGTAAATACTCTAAATGTCCTATTTTTAAAATTAATTTTTTATTAGAGATTTTTGCTACAGAGTGAGTGTGCTTGCTGGAGAGACAGCAAGAAATCACCCCCTATGGGGGACAGCCTCATCACAATCTCTTCTCCTCTATTCTCCTCTTGGGATTTTGGGCATGCATGCACACACACTGGTGTGAATTTTAAGTCCCCGGGTCCAGGATACGAACCTCGGTTGACTATGTGGGAGTCCAGCAACATAACCATTACATTATCTACAGATCCCAAAAGAAATAACTCATGATAGGCTCAGCAATTTGTTAAAAATTTTTTTGCTTGATTTTTTTTTTTAATTAAAACTTAAAGTTTTCTCCCTTCCTGACTCCTCTGGAATTGGAAAGTATTTGTGAGTATTCTTATTTTGAGGCAGAAGGGTTATTTGTCTTGCGTAAGAAATTGGAGATACTTGAGATCAGCAGTTAGTATAATGGCTATGTTGCTGGACTCCCATGTAGTCGACTGTGGTTCACGTCCCGGAACAAGGTGGCTTAAAACTCACACCAGGCGCATGTGCGTGTGTGCCCAAGATCCCGAGTGGAGAATGGAGAAGGGATTGTGGCGTGGCCATCCCCCCTGGGGGGTGATTTCTTGCTTTCTGTCTCTCTGTCTCTCTCTGTCTGTCTGGTGAGCACAGCCCCCATATAAGAAAAAGCTCTCAAAAAAAAAAAAAAAAAAAAAAAAAGAAGAAAAAAAAAGAAATCGGAGATATTCATTATTGCCAGGGTTTTGACTGGAATGTTATAACTTTTAACAAAAGAAATGGGTTTTAAGGGCATGTACACTAACTGCAGAGACAGACAGAAAGACAGAAAGTGAGAAATCACCCCGCAGGTGGATGGCCCCACCACCATCCCTTCTCCACTCTCCTCTCATGCACACACAAGGGTCTTGCATGAGTTCCAAGCCTTTGGGTTGAAGGGGATTCGATTCACAGCCACTCACGTGGGTGTACAGCACCTTAACTACTACACCAACTACTGGCCCCTGTAAATGTTCTGGTTTTAAAATGTTACATGACCAATCCAATTATGACCCAACATACACACTTAGTGTTGTTCACAGATTGTTCTAGACCAATATGTTCTTATATAAACATGGATATTCTGCTTCCTAGAAAGTTTTTTTCACTGTTGAGCATCAGACCTCAGCAGCTGGCTCTGTCCCAGCCACAGGACTGCAGTTGTTCATCCTGTGGGAACTCAACCTCAGTGTCATAAACAAAATTCAGATTGTCCTTCTGATTTTTCTCAAAAAGCTCATCCACAATGCTCTCTTCCTTTTGGTAAGCTCCTTGTCATCCAGTCTATTCAGGTCTTCCTCAGGGTCAATTGTTATTTCTCGTTTAATTTGTTCCATTGTTTCTGCTGAACTCTGCCCCTATAAATAACCTTGTTAAAAAAAAAAAAAAAAGAATAACTTCTCTAATTGCCTCAGGGGTACTCATTCCATATAACTCTTGTGCTGTGGATTATTCTTTAACTGTTCAGCAACTCTGAAACATTTTGGACTGGCATGATAACACTGGCAACTTTTCCCCTTAATTTCATTCTCATAAATTAAGATAATAGCTGGAGGCTGGAATCTAATTTCACATTTCTTGGCAATGCACATCATTACCACAGAACACTTCAGGGTAAATCGGAGGGAATCTGATGAAAATGTATTCGTTGCATCATGTCTTCCTGCCTAGAGAGTACATAAAGTGCATCTTCTCCTCTGGGTCAACATCAAAACTACTGTGAGGGGGTTGTTTCCACGCAGCCACAACCATGAAGAGCATGTCAGTCGACTTTGAGGCCAGGCAGAGCCCAGCAATGGAGAAGGTGGCAACAGCCACAGCCCCACTGACATGACCGTGTGGTGAACTGCTTCATAGGAGGCCTGAACCACAAACACTTGGAATTTTATCTTAATAGTTTTAAGAAAGCTTATAGAAGCTTTAGTCATAATTGTCAAAATTAAAATCAATCGAGATGTCCTTAAGTAAATGAATAGATAAGTAAATTGTAGTATGTCCAGGGAATGGAATATTATTCACTGCTTAACAAAAAAAATAAATAAATAAAAAAGACCTATCAAACCTTGAAAAACCATGGAGGAACTGCCAACGTATATTAATAAATGAAAAAAATGAATGTGATAGGGCCACATACTGTACAATTCCAACTATATGGCTTCTGAAAGAGGCAAGATTATGTAGACAGTAAAAAGTTCCCTTTTGCCAGGAGATTAGGGAGTATAGAACAAACAGGAAGAGCCCAGAGGATTTTTATGTCAGTGAAGCTATTTTCCATGATACTACAATAGTAGGGCCATGTCACTATACCTTTATCAAAATCCATAGACCAAAACATAAACAAAAAACAATCCATAGTCCAGAGTCCTCACACCCCGGGCCATGGACTGGTACTGATTTGTGATCTGTTAGGAACCAGAACCAGGCTTCATGGCAGGTAAGCAATGGCTGAGCAAGCAAAGCTTCATCTGTATTGTGAACCAGTAGTTAGCGTAATGGCTATGTTGCTGGACTCCCACGTAGTGGACTGCGGTTCGCTTCCCAGACCCGGTGGCTTAAAATTCACACTGGGAGCGTGTGCGTGGATGCCCAAGATCCTGAGAGGAGAATGGAGGAGAAGGGATTGTGGCTTGACCATCCCCTCTGGGGGGTGATTTCTCGCTTTCTGTCTCTATGTCTCTCTGTCTGTCTGGCGAGCGCACACGCCCTATAGCGAAAACCTCTCAAAAAAAAAAAAAAAGTTTCATCTGTATTTACAGCTGCTCCCCATCACTCACGTTACTGCCCGAGTTCCACCTCCTGTCAGATCAGTGGCCACGTTAGACTCTCATAGGAGCATGAACTCTATTGTGAACTGCTCATCCAAGAGATCTAGGTTGCACGTTCCTGATGAATGCCCGATGATCGGAGGTGGAGCTGAGGTGATGATACTAGCACTGAGAAGTGACTGCAAATACTGATTGACATTAGCAGAGAGGTTTGATGGCACAGAAACCACAATAAATCAGTTGCTTACAGACTCACATCAAAACTCTATCACTGAGTGGCAAATGACAAGCAGCATATGGTGGCTGGCTTTATTAGTCCACACATGGCCCACCCATTATTTTATTTACCACTTCTATCCACACTTCTTTCCTACACCGTACACTTGTCTTAGTCACAATTTTGGTAAGCCCACAAGCTAGCCCTAGCCAAAATGAGTAAAAAGCAAATGTCACTAGAGAGCTTCTTTAAAAAGGGAGAAAGACCCAGTGAGAGACAGCAGATGACTCTAAGACTTCCAATAAAAAGAAATTTACATTTAAAAGAAACTACCAAGAGTCCTACTTAAATCACAGGTTTTATGCAACAAGTGATTCACATTCCCCAGGCTCACTTTGTTTATTATGTGGCGACCAGCTGTCCAATAAAGCCATGAAACTAAACCGCTTCACCACATGGAAACCAAGCACCCTGCATTAAAAGACAAATATTTCTGGGGCTTTTAATAGTAAAGGGGGACTTGGGTAATATCTGAGATACAGATAAGCAAACAGAAAATGTCAGCAAGGTCAACATATGAAATGAAGAAAAGGGTGGAAGTGGGAAAAGCAATGGTAGGGCAGGGATGGGTCTGCTGGGTTGGTGGGTGGGGCACACCCTCCCTCTGTGGCCCTCTCTCCCAGCCTGAGAAACCCTCTGTGACTCTCCCATGCTCTGTGATGCAGGCCTGGGACTACAGCAAAGCCCTTGCACCCTCAGAGCTCAAGTTGCCTCAGGCAGCCCCGTGACTCAGACAATGGAGAGTATTCTCTTCTACTTGAAGAGCTACAGTGAGCCGGTCCTGAGCCTGGACTCAGCTGTCTTAGCTGTTGACCCCAGGCTTACCTTGCTGAGTGGACTGGGGTTACTTCTTCTATACCTGTGCTACTTGGTGTTGGCATCATTCACACAAAACCTCAGAAAACATGAACACACCCATAAGGTAAGAAAACAGGGGTAACTCCCCAAGAGAGACTCATCGCTGCCACCATGGCTATTTTCCATGTCTATTTTCATACTTATAAATGAGTTTGGTTGGCTCAGTGGGATGCCTGAGATGGGAAATCTGAGGAGAACAGAGGATATCATTTCTGGGAGAAGACTAGGGCTGGGGAGGATCAGGGAGGACTGAAGTTCCTACCTGAAGCTCAGAAAATGTCTGGGTATGATTAAGGGGTCCAGGATAAAATCCCAAACACAGTGATTCTGAGGTCCTGGTTAGCTTAGGTGGAGAGGGTGGGTTCTCTGAAGAATAGCCTGACACTTGATCATGAGTCACATTCCCATGTCAGGTTTGCTCGACCAAGACTTCTTCCATGTGGAAGAGCAGGAGAGCAATGCTGCACTTATGGGAGGCTTTGAGCAGAGGCTGGACCTGAGCTCCGTCCTCAGTATACACAGTCCTCTGATGGAATACAGAAGTGGCCACTAGTTTCAAATTCTATATCTTCTTTGAGAAGACTTCTAAATGAAAATATTAAATATGAATTTCACAGCAAAATGTGTGCTTTTTTTTTTTTTTGAAAGTTTTGCCATAGAATGTGAGAGAGACAGTGAAAAAGAAAGTGAGAAATCACGCTTCAATCATTTCTCCTCCAGTCACACCTCCATATCTGGGGCACATACACAGGAGATGCCAGGTCCAGGACTCAAACTGCAGTCAGCTATGTGGGAGTCCAGTACTTAACCACCATGCCATCTGTTGGAATCTCCTTGAGTTTTTCAAAGAAAAAAATTGAAAATATCTGATTTTTTAAAAATAATAAAAAAGGAAATTTTTCTAGTGGTTAAAATGAAGAGTCATATTATTCTTGGTTAAAAAAAAAATTCTCTCATCTTCCTAGAAGAGAGGATAGAGAGAAATGAGTCCCACTTCTTCATTCTTTTCTTTTTCTTCTCAGCATCTGGGTAGAGCGAAGAGAAGGAAAGGTGGAACATTTCGAGGTAAGTTTCTTCCTGTTTGACCTGAAGTCCTCTAGGTACCCTTCCTGTCCTTTCTGTGAGGTCCCAGGTCCATGACCTCTGAGGATGTCAGTTACTAGATATGACCTCTCTCAGAAAACAGAGCCCACAGGAGAGGCTCATGGGAAGGCAGCCTCTGAGACAGAGTCCCTGCTCTGTGGGGCCATGATGGACCTGGGTAGCCGAGTAGATCTCCAAGTGAGAGGTTGAGGAAGGACTACTGGTTGATTTAGACTTGGAACTTCTGTCTCAGGGGTGAAAGTATTTTGATGTGCTCAGATTCCTCATGGAGCTAAACTTTGACCTCTGTGTTTCATGTGATGCTTTCAAATATCACATGGAGTAAAGTACGTGAAGGGACTTGTGAAAGGACTTCAGAAATAAAACCACATAGACACATGAACTTTGTCAGTATCATCATTGACCGCTTAACTTTAATGATTCATGAGGATTTCAGAGAGTAATACCCCAAGAGTCTCTCATAACAGGGCTCCTATTTACTCTCTATATTTCTTTTTTTTTTTTTTGGAGAGGTTTTTGCTATAGGGCACATGAGCTCTCCAGAAGGACAGAGAGACAGAAAGCAAGCAAGCACCCCCAGAGGGGATGGCCACACTGCAATCCCTTCGCCTCCATTCTCCTCTCAAGATTTTGGACACACACACACACACACACACACACACACACACCCCTGGTGTGATTTTAGGCCACCAGGTCCAGGATTCGAACTTCAATCAACTAAATAGGAGCATAGTGACACAGCCATTAGGCCATCTGCTGGCCCCACACTCTCAATATTTCTACCTTCTCTCCTTATAACTCACTTTTCTGATTTCCCAGGTTCAAAAACTTGCAAGAGAGAAGCAGAGGAGGGACAGAGGCTGCATCGTATTCTGATAAGGTGATTAATCGTTCCCTTTCCTTCCTGGTCCCCCTTTTTTGCATTTTCTATGCACTTCTGAGACTCAATGCAGTCTATGCTGTCATGGGAGAGGGTAGCCACAGGGATGGGAATGTGCATGAAGGTCATGGGGAAAGACAAGAATGTGAAGTCATGGTGTGGGGCCATGTGTTAGGGTAGCAGGCTCAGGTGGTCCCTAGCCCAGGAGGTCCTCCTTTGCCTGCTTTTTCGTGGCTACAGCTTTGTACTTCCTGTCTCTGCAGCTCCCTGGGCCAGCATCATGATTCCACCCACTTTCGTCAGCTGTTGTGCCCAGACTCCCTCTGTGAGGTGTGTAACAGATCGACAGCCGAGGTCAATCGCCTGCTGGACTGGGGGGCCAAGGACGAGGCTACTCCCTCTGTGTCCTCTTTGACTTCCACAGCTTTTGTGACTGAGGCATCAATGTTTCTGCCTTCCACACTGTCACCAAGCCCTCCAGGAGACCTGATAGCTGGCCATTTGTCTGAGCCTTCTCCACCTCCAACCCCTAACCTGTCACCCAGCCTAAAGACCCCCTTAGTTGACTCACTGTCGCCCCCACCATTGGGAGACTCTCTGCCACCAGATCCTCTTCCTCCCGTGGGTTGCACATTCCCAGTGGGCCATTTCCCATCTCAACCACCTGCTGGCCACTCTCTCCTCCAACATCACACTCAGAAAGTAGATCCTGTTTTCCATCCACGGCTGGATAGCCGTGAAGGGTTGTCCACTAAAGTCTCAGCCATCAGAGACCTTGATCACTCAAGCATGGCAATTTCAGAATTCTCCTGGTGGCACACTCATGCCAGGACCATGTTCCTCCCCAGATTGCCACACTCTAATTTTCAGGAAGAGCATGTTTCTTTCTGTGTACCAGAAACCTATTGCTGGGGAGACACTAATATCAAGCAAATGGAGGTCAATAGCCTTTCTTTCATTGGCCTTAACATACAGGCACTCTTGGAGCGACATATAAAAAAGAAAATGATTTTCCAGATTTTTAAGAAGAGTGAAAAAGAGGAGGAACTACTTTCAAGACAAATGTGGTCTGACTATCAAATGACATCCTCAGAGAATTCACTGCAGTTACTTAATAAGCAGGACTTCACAGTCCCCCAAACTATCTGGGATACCCAAGGAAAACCAGAGGGACTGCACATTTGTCAGCAGTTCCTATGTGACAAGACTGGGGGAGAAAACATGGAACGGATATACAGCCAGCTCTTCTGGGGTCTTCCTTCACTGCATAGTGAGTCCTTAGTGGCTCCTCTGTTAGTGACTAGGAGTAGTTTTCCACTAGAGCTTTGCTGTGTCTTATTCAATGGGATCTGTAATATTCCTGCAGCCCAAATTCAGGATCGAGAATCTCCAGTACTTTCTAATTCTCATCCTCCGCCCATCACCAATATACATCTGCCAATTCTACCTTTCATTCAGGTTCATTCCCAGGCCCACCTTCAATCTCCACTCCCTAACCCAGCATCATTATCTTCACCCCAGATTAAGAAGTGTGGAGTTTCTTTTCATAGACCCCAGAATGAGGTAGACTCTCAAATCTCAAATGAAAATCAGAACCTAGAATGGCATGTGTTGCAAAAACATCAAGAAAGTTTGTGGGGTTTCGTCCCGGTGCTCCAAAAGTGTCAAGAAGGTTTACGTCCTCCAGCTCCTAACCTTCCATTGGTCAGCCATTCTTCCCAAGTCCATGTTCCTGTCTCCATCTTTCCTGGTAATTTTCATGTCACTAGTGACACTCAGGAGAAACCGGAGCTCCATGTTCCAAAGAAACAAATTCCCCACTGGTGCCTCCCAGCCTGTAGGAATCTAGGATCGACAGCACTGATGGAGCCTTGCTACAATTCAACAGAAACATTGCACCAGAATGTCAGACATGCTCTCTCACAGCTCCCCGAGTTTCAGGGCTGTAGTAGAAAAGAGTTGGTAAAGACAGAATTCAGTTTTCCAGGCAGTTTCCATGAGAGGTTCCCAACAATATTTCAACCAATGAGGGACATGGCAAAGAATCTTGGCCCAATCCTGGGAAAGTGCCCATCAGAAAACTCACCAGTGGACTCAGAATGCTATGTAGAGAAGGACCTGAGGGCCACCTCTGAGACAATAGGTGACTGGATATATCACTCAAGGAATGTCTCAGGGAATGAATTACTAAGTATGCCTAGCAGGAACTTAGACCAGAATCAAGTGAAAACCATCCTGAGATTGCATTTAAGCAGGAAGTTTTGGCAGATCACTGCAGGTAGGATCCCTGTAGACGTGTGTCGTTCGTGGCTGGCTGATGAAAATGTGTTGCCTCCTTATGGAAGTTATACCAATACAGAAAACACAAAGGTAGCACCATTGGAGGGTAAATTCTCCAGCCATATTGCCACCCTAGAGCTTTCTTTTCTTGGTCCCCAAATTCAAAACCTCCTAGAAGCCCATATTATAAGGTTTCGAGTAAGTCAGAGGTGGGGCCTGCCCCTCAAGGTCCTTGAATCCATTAAATTCTTTGTGTTAAGAGAAACAAAAACATGGCCTCTTCCCCAGATTGACTTTCCTTCATATGCCATCCACATATCTGGGGTGGATTCCACAGCTAGTGTTATCAAGGCCCGCTCTAAAGCTTTTCATAAAGACAAAGTGGGAACAACAAAGTTTCTCCCTGTCCTAGATCATACTCTCCTTGCCATCTCACCTATGGACAAGGAAAGACAGAAAGCCCTGAGACAATTGCCTTCTGATACTGACAATGAGTTTACACAGAATGTTCAGACAATCGAGAGTAGTAGACAGACATGTCTGCCCTGCACACACAGCATCGTAGAAAAACCAAATCAGAACGATGTTGCAGTAGTCAACAGATGCAGCCTAGAGCTGCCCACAAAGCAATATGAGGATGGACATGAATCAATGGATGAGAAAGTGAGAGCTACTGGCAGAGTAGAAATGCTTCAGGACAAAATGATGGTGGAGAAGAATTCAGAGAATTTTCCCACATCCAACATGTCCAGGAAGATAGTCAAGGCTGATGAGCTCTGTGCTTTTCGACCTAATGATATCTTGAAAAGCAGTAAGTTGAGAAGCCCCCAAATGATAAAGGTGGGAACAAGTAATGTAGAAAAGACCCCAACCACTGAATACTCTCCACCAAGAGTACCTATTCCTGAAGACCTTAAATTATCAGACCTTAAAAGACAACTCCTTGATGAATTAAGGTTTAAATTGGAGAGTTTGGAACATAGCCAGGCCCAAAGCTCTTCTAGTGACACCTCTCTTTCTTCAGTTAGCTCAACTTCTGATTCCTCCATGCCTCATTCCCCAAGTGTCTCCAGTACAAACCTGGCAGACGTCCAGGTATTGCACATTTGCTTGGATGACAGGGGAATCGGTGTGGAGCAGGGACAGGAGCTCTGGGTCCCTAGGCGTGTTGTATGTAAATGCCATGGTAAGAATGTCTCACCAACTACAGAGAGAGTAAGTCCCCCAGGACCCAAAGCAGAAGACTGCGAAGGCAAGAACTCAGGATTAGGGACAGCCAGAGCTGAAGGGAAGACCCATCCTCCTCAAGATAGGAAATTAGAGAAGACTTCTGCATCCCTGTCACAGAAGGAAACATTTCCTCCTGAAACCTATTTTAGCAAAAAGATAAGGCAATTTTTTCAGTGGATCAACTCCAAGAGAAAGGGTACAAAGAAGAAAAGTCCCCTGCAAAAAGGCAAGTTCATGCCAGACTTTTCAGGGTGCTACAACCCAATTAAAGATCAAGCTCTCTTTATGAGCTGTGGACCTCCTGAAGCTCATGAGCTCATGGCAGCCATTGGGAGGATTATAGAGGAGAAACTGGCATGTAGTCAGGAACCTGAGCCCTTGGAGTTAAGTCAGCAGAAAAAGGAACAAAAGGAACCCAATAAGGGACAGTCCTCAAACTATCAGGCTCCCTCTGACCCACAGCAAGAGAAGGGGTCAAATACCCACTCCTGCACTCAAGAAGCTGTCATTCCTGCCCCAAGTTGTCTTACAAGTGTCAGAAAGAAGAGAGACAGAATCAGACATCCCCAGAAAGCTGTGATATTGAAGGACCAGCTATTACTCCAAAGTCATTGCTCTTCTGAACCCTCCAGGGAGCCTGCATCCCATCCAAGCCCCACCTGCATGCGAGTATGCCAGGTGCCTCCAGCTGCTATCACACCTGCTGAAGGCACTGTGTTCAGCCATTGACCCTTCTTTGCAAAAAGAAAATGCTTCTCCACCACATAGAGGAAGCAAAACTCTCCCCAAAGGAATTATCCAGTTCCTGTGGAAAGGGCCTCTCAGTTTTCATGGTAGTTCATTTTTGGATAAGAACAATCTCTGTTTAAAACAATCAACAATATATTGGTTCTCCCCATTAAATGTTGTGTCTAACACGCAGTGGTGTCCTCTGTGTTCTGCCCTGGGAAGAATGGATTTGGAGTATCCCAGAGCTTGTGCTCAGGAAAGGAGGTAGTTTAGCTTTTATTACTATTTCCCTTTTAATTTTCCAATGTAAAACCTTTTAATAGATTGTCAAAGATAGTTATTAGGATTATCTGAATATGACTTATAAAAACGAGTATATCACAAATACCTATAAAGTAAAACACAAATCACACATTGCTAATAACCCCTGCAGTCCAAAAAAATCCTCCATCATCTGAGCAAATTACAAATACTTCTTTTTTTTTCTAGAGAGCACATGCCCTAGCCAGAAAGAGGGAGAAAGAGAAGGAAAGTGAGAAAGTGGAATGGTCATGCTGCAATTCCTTCCCTATGTCTCCTTTTGGGATTTTGGGCACCAATGCCCATGCACCCAGCATGTTTTTGATTCTTTTTAATTAAATGAAAAAATTTTTGTTTACATTTAATTGCTGTACATCTTTACAGTGTACAACACAGTTTTTCCCAGTATAAATTAGTCAAGTCAAAGACATTGCATATACATTATCAACAGATAACTTCAATTTTGTGTCTATTAAATGTGTTGTTTGTTTTAATCACTGATCCCCTCCCTGCCACCCCTTGCTACCCACCTGCTTTTACCATCCCCTTCTACACTGTCTCTAGTAGCTACAGCTGGCCTCCCAGCTATTATACCTACAAATCTTTCCGTTTCAGCCCAGCATGTTTTTCAGCTGCAAGATCTGGGCCTGAAACTACATAGTCAGCCATATAGGATCCCACTGCCTTCACCACTATACCATCGGCTGGTCCAAAATATTTTTAAAGTTTTTTTTTTCCACAGGGCATTTGTACTTGAAGAGAGAGAAAGAGAGAGAGAAACCAATAAAGTGAGAAAAGACTCTCCATGGGGAATGGTCACACTGCCATCCCTTCTCCTCCATTTCTCCCTTCCCAAAATTTGAGAATGTTTGGCAGGCACACACATGCACCCAGTTTGTTTCTCAAGCTACAGGATCCCAGCCACAAACCATACAGTGGGACATAGGGGATCCATCCACTTTAACCACCACACCACCGGCTGGTCCATAAACACATTTTTTAAAGTGACATTATTTAGATATTTAACTGTGACTAAATACATTCTTTCATCAAGTACAATACACTTAACATAGTCACTAATAGCATTATTTTAGGTACAATTTCACATGCTTTCATAAATCTTCCAGTACAGTTTCTATAGTAAAGCGTTTTCCTGCATTCCATTTTCATTTATATACAGGTGCATCTTACATCATACTTAAGATTATTTCACTTCATAATTAAACTTTTATTATATAAGTGAACACCAACCCCAAATTTAACCCTAACAATAACAAAATTAAACATTTTTTAAATATTGAAAATATATACCAATTTGTTTAATTGTATCTTCTTAATCTTAATATTTGAGGCCATCAAAATATAAAAATTTAGACATTAACTCAAAAAAAGATGAAACCTCCAAGCTTCCTAAAATATTAACGAGCATTTAAAGTAGCAACAGAATCATGCTGTAAGTCAAAAACTAATTCTGACTTCACTGCCAAATTTAAAATAGTAGTGATTCGAAGATAAGATTGAGGTCTAAAATATTTGTACCAAACTGTAAAATGCAATTCAAAAAAATGTGCAGTTAATTTGCTTTTGTATATGTAATGGAGTATTTTTCATAGTAATGTTAGGTTAAACATTAAACTTATTATTTTTTTTAACTGTAAAGTACAGAGTTTTCTCTAATACCTTTTAGGTCTTTTCAAAGTGAGAAAAACACTTAGACTCCAGGCCCTGGTTCAAATTATATTTTGGGTGTTAGTTACTTTTTTAAAAGATTTATTTATTTAATTCAATTTATTATTATTGTTGTTATTGTTATTTTTAATTTGCTATAGGCATGGGTGCTTACCAGAGAGAGAGAAAGTGAGAAAGCAAGTTGCCTGATCTAGGATATGAACCACAGTCAACCATGTGGAAGTCTAGCACCTTAACCACTATACCACCTGCAGGCCAGTATTTATTTCTTTATTTCTTCTAACAGAGAGAGATAGTCAACCCCAATAGAGTCTTCATGTTGTGATCCACCCCTACCTCAGTTAGCCAGGATCACAGCCCTGTAGTGTGTGTCCAGCATGTACAGGGAGGTCCTGGGACAGGAGCCCAGGCTTTTCTGTATGTGCTCAGCATTGTAGAGCATTGCATACCACAGTAGCACTTTCTGGCCTGGTCCCCAAACCATACTTTATTATTATTATTATTACTATTATTTTTAAGCTGCTATCAGGTGGGCGCTCCAGTGAGAAAAAGAGGAAGCGCCCCTCCGCCACCCATGGGACATGTTCACACCACAATTCTTGTGACTCCATTTCTCCTTCTCATCAGGAATGTGGGCACACACATTCATGTGCAGGTGCTGTGGCTGGGATTCAAACTGTGGTTGGCCGTATGGAATCTGACTCTATCCACATAACATTTCATCACTGCACTATGGGGCCAGTCTTTCAAGCCATCTTTTTACCTGCTACCTCACTATCCTAAACTACACAGAGCTGTGGGGGGTGAGTTATTCTGACATAGCAGAGCCAGAAACACCCTTTACTACTCCCAGGAAGATTTAGAATTAGAAGCACGGGGGTGTTCAGGCTGTGAGGTCAATGTTAGGAAGAAATATTTCTCTTGGATCTCTTGGTGAGGAATAAATGTACCCTGCTACCACAAGCCAACTCTTTTCTCCCTCATGAAATTTGGAGTGAAGGGCCATGTTCCCACCACTTCCTGTACCCTAATAAAAATGGAAAATGGGTAGTAGTTCATCCTTGCCTTTCCCTATCCTTTTTGGAACAGTACAAAATGACAGAACTTGGCAGTTATAAAAGGGGATAGAGATAAGAATATTTTCCTGAAAATTGTGTCTGGCTTATATTTTATGAATATCACCGAGTCCAGAGTATCTCATGAGTCAGCCATCATTGAGTGGGGCAGTGTGGAGGGCATTGTATATGGAAGCCATTTTGAGAGTTGTCTGCCATTTTAGAAACTTTAGGCTTTACTTTTTTATTGAGTAAACTATGTTTCAGAAATTATGTGACCAACTGTTGGTAGGCAATGGGAGATTTACTCACATTAATGACTGGCTCATACTGTTGTATTTCTTTTTGAGCAATTAATTGGTGCCCACTAGCCTGTATATAAAGCACAGTTTGCTCTGCAATAAACGAAGATTTGATTAGTATCTCATCTTGCCTCTACTCTGTGTATGTCTGTGAGAGTTTTGTGAGTTTGTGTATGTGTGGGTCTCCTTTTTCACCAACCTCACCCAGGTACCCGTTCGACTGTCCTGTGGGTCGGAGCAAGTGGCACCCGGACGTGGAGCCCTGGAGTAGAGGATCAGGGTGAAGTGCACCGTGAAGAAATCCCCAGAGAGGGCACATGGTTGATGAGGCCCTTCCAGTTCTTGGACTGGAAGGCAACTTGAAGTCTGTGCAGCAGTTATATAAAACAAGTTACTATTATCATCTGTAAGGGAAAGAATGGTGGAATCCTCTTCCAATGGGGACCAACTCAACTGTCATTTCCCAGACACTCGGCATGTGCAGGTTTCTGACACTGGAGACCTCTAGTGCATCTTTTACTTTGAACCATTCTCCCTTCCTATATTGAGAGAATTCTCCCAATCGCCTAGGATTTCAGTGACAGTAAGAACATAAACACCTATCCTGTGCTCTTGGTCTTGGTTCTCCAAGATGCCAAGGAGTCTGTCTCCTTTCCCCCTGACTACAGCCTCCCCACGCACTTCCCTCCCAGCGCCAGCTCCTTATGCCTCATGCCTCCACTACTCCCTCAGGACAACCCACTGGCCTGTGTCCTGCCTGCTACTTCCCATAGCTCGTGTTCTCCTGTGGCTGTGCAAGCTCAGAAAGACAGCACATTGCTTTCCCCTCCTCCCCATGGTCTTAAATTCAAGTTCCACTGGGCTTGACCTTTATTCTAGAGGCAGCAGTAAGGGCTGCTACTGTGGTCGCAACCTCTCTGCCTGGCCACAGGGCTAGGACCAGGACAAAGCTGAGAACAGGGAGAGCATCAAGGCCAGTAAGGAACAGAAGAAGAGTGCAGGTCCCTTGATCCTGGAAGCCAAGATGGGAGCCTTTTAGCTGTTCATAGTTGTTAGAAAATATATCAAAGTCCCTGTCTCCTATGCCCTAGAATGGGACTGTGAAGGACAGAGAAAGTAGTGATTTGTACAGTGACAAAGTCCAGTCTTCTACCACTTGATAATGCCCTTGGACTTTCCAACACCAAAATCATGACTTTTGCAAATAAGTTGCCATTTTCTTTACAACTTACCCAATCTCATGTATTTCCCTTGGCAACAGAAAAATAAATGCACTAACATAACATTCATTTAGAAAATGGCAAAAATCATCCTATGAGATGAACACATCTGTGAAACCACCACCCAGATAAAAAAAGATTTCTCCTATTCAGTAACTACACAAGCTTAACCCCTAAATAAACAATCTGAAATGCAAAATGGTCCAATATATGAAAGCTTTTGAGCAACATCACAAATGGAAAATTCCACCCCTGATCTCTGTGATGGGTTGCAGTCAAACACTTTAAGACAAAAATATTGTATGAAATTACCTTTAGGTTGTCTTTAAGGTGTATACGAAATAAAAACATCTCACGTTTAGACTTGGGTCTTACCCTCAAGATATCTTATAATGTGTATGCAAATATTCCAAAGTCCAAAAAAATCTGAAACCTGAAGTACTTCTGCTTCATGCATTCCAGATAAATGATACTCAAACTATATCTCTGAAGTGGTCATTTTTTTTTTTTAGTTTTCTTTTTTTGAGAGTTTTTTGCTATTGGTCACATGCACGCCAGAAAGACAGAGAGAGACAGAGACAGAAAGCGAGAAATCATCCCCCAAGGGGGATGGCCATGCC